AGCTGGAGTTACCCAGCCCTGAGTTTTATCATTGGGTTGTCATCTAGGGCTGGAGCGAGTTTTTCTCGTAACTTGTAGTATAGGCAAAAAATTTTGGAAAATGTTCAATTTTGTCCCCGTTACACATTAATTGCAACTGCAACTCACCCCAACCTTGCCTGGAATAACCATTTCACAGGTCCTTGAAGTAAAAAACGATCCACGATGAAGATTCAGCCTACAGTTGCAGTGAAAACAGGAGGAATAACCGCTAACTTGACAACCTTGCTGGATTGGCCAGGACCGCAATTGGTTTGTGCACAAAAAAAATTGTGTACAATGAATGGCGGTCGATTAACAGGCACAGAGAGCGATCGCTGTCAACTACTCAGTTTTGCCGGCAGCGCTGGCTGTTGGCGCATGACGTCACGCGGAAGCGTAACACCCGATGACTGTTTCATGCACTATTGGTTGCGGTTCCAGTACCAAAGCTGTGATGCGGTTCCAGTACCAAAGCTGTGATGCGAGTGGTAAACCTTATATTAGTGCATGTAACAGTCATCGGGTGTTACGCTTCCGGGAAAAAATTCCTTACTCGGACGTCACTTTTTCCAATTAATTTTCTAGCGCCAAAAGTTACATCTTTTATGGTTATTCCTCCACTTTCCGTCCTCTACTCTCACCCTCTCCTTTCCTTAATTTCTATTTATTAATCAGTCAGTTATTTCATCGGGATTCGAACCTCTGACGCTTGCTTGATACACGAGACTCTTAATCGCTAGGCCGCGCATGATCGCTGTTGCAATAATTAATCTATGGACGTATTTGAAGTATCCATTGAAATAAACTTAATCTTCATGAGAAAATAAATATTCATAATGACGTATTGCACTATCATTGGCAGGCTCATGCGACGTCATGGTTGTTGATGTCACGTGTATAACGTACCGCTGTCTTTCAGCCACTACAATCAGTTTTGACCGGCTGCTTCAAGTTAGTTCTGCATGACGTATGCATCCAAAAAGTGCTCTAAAAACAAATTTTGAGTAAATTTTATTCACCTTAACACAGCTTCCTGGATTTCTCTTGGTTCAAATGACAAGGTGAGGTGACAATTAATATGTTTGGCAGCAGATAAATTCACGTCCGAGTATGGAACTTTTCCCCGCTTCCGCGTGACGTCATGCGCCAACAGCCAGTGCAGCCGGCAAAACCGAGTAGTTGACAGCGATCGCTCTCTGTGCCTGTTAATCGACCGCCATTCATTGTACACAATTTTTTTTGTGCACAAACCAATTGCGGTCCTGGCCAATCCAGCAAGGTTGTCAAGTTAGCGGTTATTCCTCCTGTTTTCACTGCAATTGTAGGCTGAATCTTCATCGTGGATCGTTTTTTACTTCAAGGACCTGTGTAATGGTTATTCCAGGCAAGTTTAGGGTGAGTTGCAGTTGCAATTAGTGTGTAACGGGGACAAAATTGAACATTTTCCAAATTTTTTTTGCCTATACTACATGTTACGAGAAAAATTCGCTCCAGCCTTAATAGACAACCCAATGATAAAACTCAGGGCTGGGTAACTCCAGCTAAGGGCTGGGTAACTCCAGCGATTTTGGGTCAACTCGTACCCGAGTTAGCTCGTACCCGAGTCAATTCGTACTCGAGTCAACTCGTACCCGAGTCAACTCGTACCCAGGTTAACTCGTACCGGAGTTAACTCGTACCCAGGTTAACTCGTACCCGAGTCAACTCGTACCCGTGTCAACTCGCACCCAGGTCAACTCGTACTCCCCTCCTTTTTGGAAACAGGTCAACTCGTACGCGAACCAACTCGTACGCGAGTCAACTCGTACGCGGATTGGTCAACTCGTACGCGAGACAACTCGTACGCGAACCAACTCGTACGCGTGCCGACTCGTACGCGAGCCAACTCGTACGCGAGCCAACTCGTACGCGAACCAACTCGTACGTGGGCCGTTTTAGGAGTGGTTTCGAGGATTGGGTTGGCATGGTTGGGAAGAATTTGGGAATAGTGTGACGGGTAGTCCGTAGTTCAATGTGTGACCGTTGTGTGTGATTGGGAGTGAACCCGTGAATGATGATAATAAAGTAACTGATTTTTGTAAATTCTGATTTTAACAAAAAATAAAAATCAAATTTCTTTTTTTACAAAATATTATTTGGATATATAATAATTAGGACTAAAAAACTATCTGACCCAAGCAAAAAACTGGCGGACGCTGTCCGTACAACTGTATAAGCATGCGTGATGCTATATTCCTTTCTTTTTTTTATAGTAGCTCCTTTTTATACAATAGACCTCGCAAAAATCGGTGTTTTCTTGTCATTGTACTTGTCTAACCAACCATCAATTGTACCGCGGCATACACAGGTTACAGCGATTCAATCATGCATTCTTTATACAGTGCGCGGTGCGGCGGGAACCTATCATACTGCACTGGTTATCGCGAAGACAACTTCCCAATCAATCAAGCGAACTTGTAAAAAAAAAAAAAACGCAGACTTCTTCTCTAAAAAATCGCGAATGTAAGTAGCACTGGCGGATTCAAAAATCAACTACATTTAATTTGAAAATCTCAACCTTTCAGAAAAGGTAAAATTATGCCGACCTACCGTACCGAACCTAATTTCTTCTGTCCATGTGAGCTAAAACAATCGTCTAAACTCACGCGTACGAGTTGGTCCGCGTACGAGTTGGTCCGCGTACGAGTCGGTCCGCGTACGAGTCAGTCCACGTACGAGTCGGTTCGCGTACGAATTGACCCGCGTACGAGTTGGTCGCGTACGAGTTGGTTCGCGTACGAGTTGACCTGTATTCTCCTTTTTTAGTTTGGAAGTACGGATGGATGGTTAACAAAACTTCCGATTTTACCCTCAAAAACGGCGACTGAGAAATAGTAGTTACGCCGCCAGAAATACAAATAAAGTTCAAGGATTAGTTGAAGGCGGTGGTATCAAATGTTGCTCACAATCTGGATGAAAAGGGAAAATGTACCGTTCATCAGCAAGGGCTTCATCGCAAACGGACGGGTAACGCGCGGAGAACATTTTCAAAACGGCATCAGTGTGGTACTCGGACTCACACGGACATCGTTATTTAATTTATACTGATTCTTAAATATGTTGGTCATTTTTTGTACTCGGGTACGAGTCAACTCGGGTAGGACTTGACTCGGGTACGAGCTGACTCGGGTACGACTTGACTTGGGTGTCAATTTTGGGATACGAGTTGACTCGGGTACGAGTTAACTCGGGTACGAGTTGACCCATTTCCACTCCAGCTAGACACATACTCCTAGAACTATGAGGCTCCACGTAGTGGAGCCTCATAGGTTCAGAAACCCGCAAAATTGTTGTCAGCACAAAACACTAATTAAGTACAAAAACGTCCATCCCAAGCAGGCCGTTTTCCACAGAACCGCTGCACAGTTTGCCCCTAAACTCCGTACAATACCTCATGACATACTCACGTTATGTGCACCCAACAAACATCGGTGGATTCTGTCTGTTTTTCGGCAAAAATGATGAAAAATATGCCCTTTCCGCACTGAGCCAACCTAACACTTGAAACGAGCACGCGTGCAGAATGATCGCAGTTTAGCCCGACTGCGTCTGGCCGTACAGTACTATTGCAAGCTCTGTAGTACGGCCAGACGCTGAATGCTTCCAAAAAGACTGAATTTTTGTGGCCGCCGATGTAGCGATTTTGCTACATCTTTCGATCGCAATTATCTTTTCATCCAGGACACAAATTTCCAAAGTTAAGGTTTGTAGTCGTAGAGCAACTCATACCTTTTCGAAAAAACGTTGTTTGGTCTCAATATTTTCATCTATCTGGCCACAAGACGAATTTCAGTCATCAGATTCCACAAATATCGTCCCCCATGCGATCCCCCATGCGATTTCAAAATGGCGGCCGCGCTGTAATGTATGCAATATGCAGGCGCGCCCGCGCAAACTCATGAATATGCATAAACAGTCTGTGACGTACGACCTCGTGTTTTTGGATGCACGGCCCCGCCGCACGCACGTCCAAAAACACGAGGTGTACGTCACAGATTGTTATGCATATTCATGAGTTTGCGCGGGCGCGCCTGCATATTGCATACATTACAGCGCGGCCGCCATTTTGAAATCGCATGGGGGATCGCATGGGGGACGATATTTGTGGAATCTGATGACTGAAATTCGTCTTGTGGCCAGATGGATGAAAATATTGAGACCAAACAACGTTTTTTCGAAAAGGTATGAGTTGCTCTACGACTACGAACCTTAACTTTGGAAATTTGTGCCCTGGATGAAAAGATAATTGCGATCGAAAGATGTAGCAAAATCGCTACATCGGCGGCCACAAAAATTCAGTCTTTTTGGAAGCATTCAGCGTCTGGCCGTACTACAGAGCTTGCGATAGTACTGTACGGCCAGACGCAGTCGGGCTAATCGCAGTTATTTTCGGTTCGATCGCTCGGAGCGCGCCGCGGGGGGTACGTACTTGCACTTGTACGCATGTGCATACTATCGTTCCGCTCCTACACCATACCCCCCGCGGCGCGCTCCGAGCGATCGAACCGAAAATAACTGCGATCATTCTGCACGCGTGCTCGTTTCAAGTGTTAGGTTGGCTCAGTGCAGAAAGGGCATATTTTTCATCATTTTTGCCGAAAAACAGACAGAATCCACCGATGTTTGTTGGGTGCACATAACGTGAGTATGTCATGAGGTATTGTATGGAGTTTAGGGGCAAACTGTGCAGCGGTTCTGTGGAAAACGGCCTGCTTGGGATGGACGTTTTTGTACTTAATTAGTGTTTTGTGCTGACAACAATTTTGCGGGCTTCTGAACCTATGAGGCTCCACTACGTGGAGCCTCATAGTTCTAGGAGTACTACTACTAGACACATGCTAGACGGGTCTAGCATGTCTAGCCTGCAGAAAGTGCAGTGTTCATTTATTTCCACAATGTGCACAAATAAATACACCCAATATTAAAAGGTGACTACATACCAGTGAATGCAGAAAATAGCTGAATAGAGGAGACGACAGAATTTTAACACCAAAACCCGCACGCTGTATTTCATGTAGGCCTAGGCCCTATAATGTCATGCCTATATTACACAAATTCACAGTCACAAATACAGCAAAAGCGGGAGAACGCATGCTCAAAACCTTGACTCAACGTTTTGAATATCGCTTGAGGGCGCCCGACTAAAATCCCAAACTATGGGGAAATTTCGCTCGTACCCCCCGCCCTGCAAACAGGATACTCTGATGAATTCACGCTCTGATTGGTTGGATTTTGCGTGATCAGGGACCTGCGCGCCATCAAGTTCATGACTCTGCAAGGTTTGAAACGGCCGACTGATTCATTACTCTTCTATTCCAGTTTAGAGATGTTTTTTTCTCATTGAAAGCGTAATAATGTAGAAAATTCTGTAAAACCTATCTGTGTTGTAAATTTATAATTCCCGTCACTCGCTCAGGCTCCGTTTCGAATCACGAACGGTCGGATTGCATTGTGCGACGCTCAAAATGTTGTCCACATGGTCCACAATGAAACAGAAATCACAATCGCAATTCCTTTGAAAGTTTTCGGATAGCATTTGCGCACATTGTCTAAATGCGGTCTTGAACAGCTGCAGCAAGATGCTTTATACATAGGTCATAGGCCACTTCCTTCACAAGATTCTGTGAAGCTCATCATCAGAGTATCCCAGCGTCCTGTTTGCAGGGCGGGGGGTACGAGCGAAATGGCAAATTCACTTACACACACCCAAACAATTCCACTAAAAAAAAAATCCATAAAAATATTTTTCGATTGTAAAAAAATTCCTTGTGTACTTAAAATGATTTAGGAAGATTAAAAACCAATAAGGTTCACAACTTGTTTCAATCGTGAGTAACAGCCTTTTTAGCTAAAAAAAAAAAAGTATGCTTTGTACGTAAATATACAACCTCGAGATTATAAAGAAAACCATAAAATTTCATCTCCAGTCGCTTCGCGTTTTCGCCGCTTTGAATGCGGGCAAGTCACGATGGCCTTGGTGAAAGGCTAGTGAGTTCGCGAAAACTGCTACATTATTACAAATTTATGGTTTCACGAAGTAACACTCAAGTGTGCGCGGGCACATCGGACACTGGCGCGAACATTTTTCGTCTTCACATATAGCTACAACTCTATTCCGGAAAATCGGAAATACTATTTGGATAAAAACGTTTTAAAACAGTGACAGGAATGTATTTAATACCACAACAACAACAGTGCCCCTCTCGCGGTTATAAAATGTGCTCCTCAAACGTACACGTCGTCAGCGATACCACGAAGTAACACCCATCCCGTACCAGTAAAAACTAGCAATCGGAGAAAACTACATCTAAAGATGAGCGCCTTATAAAACAACACTTTGCGTTGAAACTGCAAAGTATTTTCAGTTTGGTTTCTCGTGGTGGACACTTGATGTATTGAATTTATTAAATTTGCCGTTAAATATTAAATCAACAAGAAATAAGAGAAATAAATTGAAACCGAACAAGCTGCGAAACTATTTTTTTTTTTTTTGTCTTCACGAGGTAGTAGTCAGGGATGTTAGGGCGTTAATTATATAGGTGCCGTTTGGTTCAGATTCTTCCAAAAAGCACCAAATTGGGCACAGGAGTCGTCCATGCCATACTATTTCAATTTTTTGGCGCCAAGACAGGCGCTCCACGGGACCGCCATACTGGCAAAATCCAATATGGCCGCCAACCGGGTCAGAGGTCAATCAAACTAAACGAGCTAGAATCATAAGTAATACTATTTTTCAGGTATTTTCGGGGTCGAGCAATCTGAATCTGATGTTATTTTAACGATTTGAAGCAAGACAGATGCTGGGCAACAAATTTTAAGGGCTTTGTTATCTTTTCAAACCCCCCCCCCCCTATTGAATCATGTGCGTTCTGATTTTTTTTAACACAGCCGACTCAAAATGGCCACTTAGCACGAATGCGTGCTGACAGAAGAAAACTGAACGATTCCCTCTCAACTACAAGTACTGCGTTTTACCCATGCACCTGAAGGAAATAAACTTCAGAATGTTAATAATCACTTGAATTTAATGGTGCATCCACAGTGCATTCGTATTGTAACAATGGAGGGGAAATCGTACTGATATAATGATATGTTTCGAGGAATGGTTGTTTCGGTTGGGGGATGCATCAATAATACGCTCAACATTCCACCACGCTGAAGAAAACAAATACATTTAAACGAATGATAATTACATAAGAATGATTTTCCAACTGTAAAATGTTTTCCCCGCAATAACCCCCTCCCCAAATTACATAACCGGTCCATTCAATAAAAGGATGCCTTGCATCAATAATCACCAAAACCGTATACTGATATGAATTAGAAAAGTGTTTTTTAAAGCTTGTTAAAGAACTGAACGAATTTTTAAAAGTTTTTAAAAAAGAACTGTACTTTTAAGTCTCCATTTGTTTTTAAAGCTAAAATGTGTTTTATGGGAGTAATTAGGCAGTGGTGGGTTATGGGGATGGTTGGGGTAATTAACCATCTTTTTCCGTCTGGAAACAAATGCCAACTGGGTAGAAAATCCCAAATGTTCCCCAAGATTCGTGAAATAACAATCTCGTTATAAAATCTCTAGTCACTGCCTCAGGTCTTTGGTCCTATTTATTACTATGAGGCGCCCTTTATGACTTTATTACGAAACCAATATATATAGAACGAAACCAATATATATAGAGCGAAACAAATATATATAGAACGAAACCAATATATATCGAACAAAACAAATATATATGGAACGAAACCAATATATATAGAACGAGAAACAAATATATATATAGAACGTAAATCCAATATATATAGAACGAACTTCAAATATATATATAGAACGAAACATATCCAATGAAATCGTCTTCTATCACAATTCACAGTGCTCGATACATCTCTGTAAACATGCAATAAATTCAGAATATGAGTTAAACAAACTTTGGCATATCTCTCTTCTGAACAGACTGTTTCGTACCATAAGGCACTCATCAGCAGAATGACGAAACATATATATATAGAACGAAAAACAAATATATATAGGACGAAAATCAAATACATATAGAACGTAACTCCAATATATATAGAACGTAACTCCAATATATATAGAACGTAGCTCCAATATATATAGAACGTAACACAAATATGTATAGAACGAAACTCCAATATATATAGAACGTAGCTCCAATATATATAGAACGTAACACAAATATATATAGAACGTAACTCCAATATATATAGAACGTAACTCCTGATGATGAGTGCCTTATGGTACGAAACAGTCTGTCCAGAAGAGAGATATGCAAAAGTTTGTTTAACTCATATTCTGAATTTATTGCGTGTTATAGCTCTACAGAGATGTATCGAGCACTGTGAATTGTGATAGAAGACGATTTCATTGGATATAGAACGTAACTCCAATATATATATAGAAAGAAACTCAAATATATATAGAACGAAACTCAAATAATATATAGAACGAGAAAAATATATTGAACGAGAATTGTAATAATTATATAAAATGAAGCAAGTTGCAAATGGACTCAATTCAAGGTGACTGTAAGGTCCGATGATGCCAAATTCTGCTAGATGTACTTCCAAAATCTATCTGATTAAACAAAAAAACTGCCAAATCACCTATGATTACACGAAATACATTATAAACACCTATACTCATATGCAGATGTTATAAAATATGTCCTTAACTTCCCCCCCCCCCTTCAAAAAGAAAAATCACAAAATATCCTTCATAAAAAAAGTTATTATTCTTTTTGAAATGGCTCGTGTCTAGCCTGGTTTCCAACGTCTACAGTACTTAACTGTGTTCTCGTACCGTACCTCCACGCTAAGACTGGCCAAAAAAATAAAGATTCTTTTGCAAACAAATCAGCTCTAGCTGCTATATTTTCCCGTCAAAATCACCAATTTTGCAGAATTCTGCTAGAAATCTACTAGAATCAATTCAATCTGCTAGATTTTTTGTCAAACTTTTTTTTCCCAAAAAAATCTGTCAAATTTAGCCGAAATTCGGCTAAAACGGTCACCCTATTGAAACGTTAAATATATAAGACGAAGCGCCCTCTAAATATATACATGCAGAATCAAACGTACGTTAAAATACATGTATATAGATCGAAAAAGTAAAATATAAAGAACGTAAAAGTAAAATAGACGGATTGAAGCGCCCTCTACCGTCTACCTACGGAGAGTGAACATCTGAATTCCTGTGGTCTACATGTGTTGTACCCATATATCCATGGCAATCCAAAAGCCCGACTACGCTCACGCACAAACCGCCCTGTAAGGTATGGAGTCTGGGAATTATAGTAGTTCAATCGTTTTCCGCCTAGTTCCGGATTTTTCCTAGTTCCGGATCGCTTCAATGTACCTTTTTTATATTTTTGATATAGTCTACGATAATTATTTATTGGGACGAAGTGCATTTTGAAAAGGAAAATGTAAGTTTCTTGACACACAAAGAGCTTTTCAATAAAATCTTCAGAAGAGGAATTTTGGCCAGATTTCCGACTCGCACTTTATTGACATGTTTGGACGGTTAGTTAAATTACAGAAGCTGCGAATCGACGATAAATCGTCGGGTGCCCGGCAGAAGGGCATGAGTGTTCTGACTCAACAAATAATTTTCAAGAAAATTGTATTGAAAGGTTCCAAAAATGTTTAGATTTCATTAAAATAGGGGCAGTTTTTTTTTTGCATATGACCTAATTTTGCTGGAAACATTTTGGCGATTGCGCGCTATTGCATAAGAGCAAATTTGCATAGGAGGCGTGTGAGTTCGACGCGTTGCGCCGCAGACAAAAGTTTCAAAAGCATTTACGTTTTTCTCTTTTTAAAATTGGCTGGAATTCTCTTGAATGAACTATTTTTGGAAAATTAAATCAGAATTTATCAGAAATGTGCTTGACTCGTTTTTTTTCTGGTTGAAAAATTTACTTTCTCGTGTGCGGATTTTTTTTTTCTCGCGCGAAGCAGTGTTTGAGCAACCTCGTCCCCAGGGTGTCGAGCAGTGCGCGCCCATCACTACCTGCTCTGTCACCCTGGTATTGGATAATTTGCATGTGCAAGATTTTTGAACACTTATGCTATGGAAAGCACGGTAGGCTGACTGGTATTTTTCACATAGGTTAT